CACCCCGTAAAAATCAACCTGCTACAAGTAACTGCAACAACAATTTCCGTTGGTGAGGTGTTGTTGCGGCCCTATGCTCCACTGGGAGTTTACAGGAATAAAAAAAATATATATTGTTGTTAGTCTATGTATTGAAAGTATAAAATGAAATGCATAGACAACAAAACTATTTATTGTTTCTTAATTTTCTTAATTTAGTCTGGCCGTTGATTAAAAAGGTTTGTTTTTTATTACAGACGTTAGTGATATAACAGAAAATAGTTTAATCCAGAAACGATTTAAGTTTAAAATTGAATCGATATTTTTACTTTCACAATAAATTTTATGTACTTGGCTCTAGATTACGTCTTTACTTTAGGCTTATTATACCAACACTTACTACACTTATAAGGTTTCACGTCACACATACATCCCTTATGGTCCTCTTGCACCCCGTCACGAAAATCGTAATGGACGGACAGTAATCGAACTATTCAATCTGAATAAATGCATTTTTTTGCTTATATAACTCCTCCTATTTCTAGAAATCAAATGTAACTTAACACACACTGGCTTGTTTATATAATATATTAGCGAAATAACTTGTACCGTTATTAGAACGAATTTCAACGTCAATAAACTCGTATCCTCAGTCGTGGGTTCCGTGTGGTTTGTATGACTTCCTTATTGTTGCATGGTTTTCAAATAGTAATTTAAAAATGATTATATACCATTTAATTTTTCATTTGTTTGTTTTGATTTTGTTCTCAAATATAGAGCATTCATAGTAGAGTGAAATGTTTTATTTTTTCGAGGGGTATCAGACTAAAGTTTTATGATGGAAAAAATGCACTATTTTTGCAGTTTCAAAATACGTTAAATACTGAATGAGATTTATAACACTTAATCAAGAACTTCAATATTTCGTTACTGTCCAAACATTTTGTAGATATTTCAATACAATTAACTTCAAGAAAAAATTTAAAAAATTGTTTTTATCTAGAATCTAAACTCACTATATATTGTAGAAGCGCGCCCCAGCTAGCACTGGATTCGACTCTTTTTTTTTTCCTGATATACAGTATGTTACCAAAACTATTGTAGCAGCGCGAACCAAGATAGCACTGGGTTCTACTCTTATCCTCACTCTTAGCCTGATATACAGTATGTTACCAAAACTATTGTAGCAGCGCGACCCAAGATAGCACTGGGTTCTACTCTTATCCTCACTCTTAGCCTGATATACAGTATGTTACCAAAACTATTGTAGCAGCGCGACCCAAGATAGCACTGGGTTCTACTCTTATCCTCACTCCTAGCCTGATATACAGTATGTTATCATTAACTATTGTAGCAGTGCGTCCCCATCTAGCACTGGATTATACCATATTGATTGTGTACGTGAATCTTATTATAATGCCCAACGGCTGAAAGGGTGAGTATAATCGATGGTTGGATTCGAACCCGCGACCCGCAGATTGCAGTTCGAGTTTCCTAAATACCAGGCGATGCCAGGCCTTACATTATTAGTGTAGGAATTGCAGTCTACCTAGACCGAAATATATTTTTAGAATCTTCAACAGATGACTAATTCTAATGTAGCACCAATGTTACATATTCTTAAAAATCTATATAAATGTAGGTTTAGTGTGGGGAGTAAAAACAACAACAAAAAATACCGTATATTCAAATAGGAATGATTATTGGTATTACGAGTATCTGAGACATCTCAATCCACCTACTCATATCTACATCTCCTGTGATAAAAACGTGACAATTGGAACATCGAGTTAACCATCTAGAAATAATCACGTTTCGGTTTTTATGAAGTGTGAATAGTGTCTTCATAAAACACTACTTTTCGGATTTAAATGACAGTTCAGGGTTGTATGCTTTATGTTGACTGATTTCACGGATGTCGTACAAATTATAAACTGAACATAACAGCCGTGTATGCAAGACCTCAGCTCTCTTGATGCGCTGAACATCGAAATGAGTGGAGAACAGTGAAAAAAATATATAAAAAACATCACGATGAGCGAAGAATCCCGCTTCTCACTGCGTGCTCTGGATGAACGGTAGAATACTTTGGACATGACTGCGTCGTTCTAGTCCCAAACGATAGTGTCAATGTGTGGGCCTGTTTTAGTTGCAGGAGTAGTATTAGGATGTGGGCCTGTTTTTACTTGTAGGAGTAGTGTCATGGTGTAGGCCTATTTTATTTGTTTTGAACTGACTTCTGGGGAAAGTTAAGAAAATCTGTGAATGTTTTTTGGTATTTTAACATCGCGGACTGTGTTGCAGTGCCTTCTTAGGTGAAACTGTGTTGAGAATTATCATGCTTACTTCAATACGTGATGACACACCATGCCATACGACAACAGTGTACCTATGTGTTGTACAAAACCTACTTTACCTGTCTAGAATATCGATACAAATCCCATACTTGAATCCCTTTTGGACGTTTCTCAAGTTGCTTGACAGATAACGAGATCCCTAAAAGTTCTTGGAAATTCTTCACAAGATGAGTGATGGTGGTCTATTCTATCTGACAGATATTACTGACAGATGCCAGACTGTGACTGATGCCAATGGCAGATCATATTGTTACGACAGCGGAAGTCACGTGACGCTAGTAACACGTCATGAACTTCTAGAACGTTCACGTCTCTTCCTGAATGCTCTAGCGTTTACTAGATTCGGTATTCTTTTATATATAAGACGGTCAAGACGTGACGGTAACAAGGTAATGTAATATGTAATTGACAGTTGAGTTGAGCACGTGAGACGTTCGTGGTGAATTATAGCGCGACTGTGGTAATTAGTGTATTGCAAAGTTGTATTCAGAAAGAATAAACCAGTTTTAGTTGAGAAAGGACTAGTACCGCTAAAGTTTCTTCGGAAAGAATTTTTACGGAAAATTAACGTAACAATATGTATTTTATTATGACGAAATTCCACCAACGAAACACAACCCACCCTCGTTTAGCAGATATGTATATAAATGCAAAAATGTATTTGTGAAAGAACATTATCAGATATGTTTGTTATTTTTTAAACATACTAAACCGTCGTCCAAGATTTAAAAATCTCGAGCTAGCTTGTTTGGTATTTCTCAGTTATTAGCAATAAGATATAGTTACCTAAAATTCCGCAACTGTTATTTCATCTTTATGTGTAGTCGTGATCCTCGTTGCTAAGCCTTTTTTTTATTTTTATGGAAGCAGCCAAGGGAACGAAATTATTCATGTGAGTCATTTATGTGAGTCAACTACAATTGGAACAAGTCACCGAATACACTAAAAAAATCATGTAAACTGTAACACCAGTATGTAAGTATTCCGATGAATAAACCCCTAATGAAAGAATAGACCATTCCAAGCTTTTACTTGTTGTTAAACAAATGTTTAAACAACTTTATTCAAATATATTTCAATCTTAGTGCAGGACGGTTAGAAACTGCTTGGTTTACAACATTAACTTAAACTTAAGACAGAATCAGAAAATATGAATAAAATACAAGCAGCACGGATAAAATGTAGTGTGCGATTGAACTGAAAATGGTGTTTTTTATACTACATGCAGTGTTCCTGTTCTATTCTATTTCCTGTTTACTTCCTGCACATAATTATCCTCGTATTTTATAATACCAGATTTTTAAAAATATTGTTAAATTTAACAGAAGAGTTAGCTGAACCAGTGCAGGCTATGCGAACCGATAAGTTTTAAACCACTGTAAAGTTCTGGGGTGATAACTGTGTTTGACGAATTACTATTTTTTTGTGAACTTGATATATCCCACCATGTATGCCAGTTGTACCGGAGTAACCAGACAGCAGTATAATTACAATTTTACTGTTCTATTTAGGTACATCTGTATTTTTCTGCCTTACCGGAAGACAAAATTCCTTATGTCAACAGTGTTGGAGAGAAGTACCGAATCAAACAACTCTTGCATCAATTGCCGCCACACGACAATGAAGTGCGATATTGTAATGGACTCAGTGACGAAGAAAAGAGGGAGTTACGCTTGTTTTCGGCACAGCGAAAACGAGAGGCTTTAGGGCGGGGCACTATACGTCAACTTCCTGTTACTCTTCAATCATCAATGACTTGTCAAAACGTGAGTCTATATTTCGCCCAGACCTTTTAAAAAACTTTTTCAGTCATTACATTGAAAATAATTTATTTGAATTCGTGTTCTAAATGAATATTTTCTAAACCTTTAGTTTTAAGAATATACCTGGATTTCGAATCATGATATATAAAAAAATATATTAAATTATGGTTATAAAACATATGAAGATGTTATTTTAAAATATTTCAAACAAATATACTATACATTAAATCTAATGCCCATTTTTTAAAGAATACATTTCTTTCAAGATTTCCAAGTGCTTTAAAGTCATGCTGAAGGAATGGTCACTAAATTATTTAAATTTGCAGATTATATTAAGGCCTTGGGTGTTGTTAGCTGTGAAAAGGATGCTGATTTGGTAAAGGATTTAGATAATTTAGTAGTGAGTTGGGCAAATAAATGGCAAATTGGTTTTAATTATAATAAATGTGAGATAATGCATGTGCGGTATCATAACTTAAATTATCTTACTATAATAGACGTAGCGTGTATATATGTATCTATCCATGTATGTGACCAAAATAATAAATATAATGTGGCGCCATCTATTGCATGACATCAGAAATAGAGATCCATAAAAAAATGTTCACACTTTAGGTATTCAAGATTCAGACAATTAGAAAAATAACTACAGTATGTGCAACAACCATTTCTTTATAACAGAACATAATTTTAAATAAAAATACTCTTCTCAAAACAATAACACGACTTTCACTAGGACTGTATGTGAGGGTTTAATTATATCTTTATTGGTGTAATTTGTTAATGTAGTACTAAAAAAATGGAGTTCTTAAAAAACCTTTTATTTTTTCAATAAAGGGACCACTTTTAATATATAGAAAACATTATAGCTTATATCAGCACAATCCGAACAATTTTCCCGTGCAGTACTTTCCAGAAAAATTATTTTCAGGAAATGTTCCCTTTTCTTAAACTTTGATGAGATATGAATATTATGATTAGTAATTATTAACACAAATAGTTTCTGCCAGTAGGTATAAATTGTATGGGAATAACCTTAACAATGTCATGAAAGAAAGGGACTTGGTGTAATGGTTGATCAGGCTCTTAAGCCGTCTAAAGCAGTGTGCTGTTGTTAGTGGTAGGGCAAATAGGATTTTAGGTTGTATATAGAGAAATATTGAATATAAGTCTAAAGAGGTTATAATTTCATTGTACAGGTCACTGGTTAGGCCACATTTTGAATATTGTGTTCAGTTTTGAGCTCCTTACTGTAGGAAGGACATTGAATTGTTGGAAAGGGTTACTAGAATGGTGCCTGGGATGAAGGGTTTTTATACGAAGAAAGGCTGAGATCTCTCAAATAGTTTTCTCTTGAAAAAAGAAGAGTAAGAGTGGATCTGATTGAGGTGTTTAAGATTGTAAAGGGTTTTGATATATGTTGCCAACTATTTTAAATGCCCCTCAGTGGCACAGCGGTATGTCTGCGGACTTAAAACGCTAGAATCCGGGTTTCGATACCCGTGGTGGGCAGAGCACAGATAGCCCATTGTGTAGCTTTGTGCTTAATTACAAACAAACTATTTTAAATCTTCCATTTGAAAAAGTGCAATTTGAAGTCTGAATCAATTTGTATTTTTATTTTTAGGTGAAAATTATTGAAATGAATCTAACATCTGTATCTGAAAAAATGTATTCATCCAATCTTAAGTTACATTTTGAACATCTTCTCAATAGGTATTTCCAGAAATTGTAGCCCCCCCCCTCTCCCGTTGGCTCATTGGTATGGTAGCTCGTAAGATATTGTGTAGCTATGTACTTTACAACAACAACGAGGATTATATACGTCAGACATTACTATTGATAAAAAGAACATCCAGGTAAAGAAAGAGATATGTACATTCTATAAAACGGCCCCCGATGACTCCCAATACAAAATTTAAACTCTTCAGGTCACAGTTCAATTAATTAGAGAATTATAAAACTGCTATAGACCACAATAAAAAATCTAAATTCCTCAGACTACAGTTCATTTATAGAATCATAAAGCCGTTATAGAGCACAATAAAAGAAGTTAATTCCTCGGGTCAAAGTTCACCTATAGAAACGTAAAGCAGTTATAGGGACCAATAAAGATAAAAACCTGTTTGTTTGCTAAGCGCAAAGCTACACAGCGGATTATCTGTGCTTTGCCCACCGCGATTATCGAAACCCGATTTTTAGCGTCATAAGCACTCAGTATTACTGCTGACCCACCGGAGTCGTATACGAATTTTTGAATTCCTCAGACCACAGACTACTGATGAAAATATTGATTAAGCTGGCCACCAAATGTTATGAACGAATATAAATAAACTAACGTGATACAATGGCTTATTCGAAACTCAATAATTATATATATGTATCCTTCAATTCTATAACATTGTGTTACATGTAATTATCTTAGAATCTGTAATAATCTTAGGTAAATACGAGTTTGGAAATTTGGGGGATTTTCACTACGATAGTTTGGATTTAATAGATTTATATTAACTTGGTAATTTTTAAAAATGTAATGAATGTCCATATTTATCCTATCAATCGGTGGATCAGCGCTAACTTTACGGGATCTCGATTCCCCTCGGCGGATAGAGCGCAGATAGCCTATTGTATATTTAGCTGCTTGAACTTGTCGTACCGACAACTAATCTAGCACGTTGTTTTCTTTACTAGGGCGCAAATTGTCCCAGTGCTCTGGATTTCGGAGCTGGCGAGCTGAATTCACATCTGTGCGATACCACAAAATATTCTTCCCTTACCGTCAATTGCGCCCGGCATGGCCAGGTGGTTTAGACGCTCGACTCGCAATCTGAGGGTCGCGGGTTCGAATCCCCGTCAAACCAAACATGCTCGCCCTTTCAGCCGTGGGGGCGTTATAATGTGACGGTCAAACTCCACTATTCGTTGGTAAAAGAGTAGCCCAAGAGTTGGCGGTGGGTGGTGATGACTAGCTGCCTTCCCTCTAGTCTTACACTGCTAAATTAGGGACGGCTGGCGCAGATAGCCCTCGTGTAGCTTTGCGCGAAATTCAAAACAAACAAACAAACTTACCGTCAATGGTGGTTAGTGGGAAGCTGCTGGTTAGTAGTCCAAAATTGGGGACGACGGTGATAGCCTTAGTAGATTTGTTATAAATAAAGTACACAAATACAATTATTTTCTTTGCCCAGAAGGCGATTGATGTTGATATGAGTATTCTGACGTCATAAAAACATAAAGAACGAGAGAGAGAGAAGGCTACATTTGAAGAGCAGTGTGTGTGTGTGTGATAAGTACAGAGTAGCGTTATCAACATATTTGTAGACATGCTGTGATGTATGGGAATCTTTCGTTCGTTATGTAAACCACAATCCAACAGAAAATACCATGTAAAAAGCTGCCACTTCAAGCCCTCTATAACCAAACGACTACAAAACACGCATCAACAAAAAAAAAAAAAACTGGATAGGTGCGTTTTTTGTTTGTTGTTAAGTACAAAGTTACAAAATTGGCTATCTGTGCTCTGTCCGTGATGAGTATCGAAACCCGAACTTTAGTGATATAAGGCCCTCATATTTACCGCTGATCCTCTTGGGGGGAGGGGGGCTGGATGTTAGCAGTTAAACTGATTAGGCTAACAATTACGTTGCGGCGAGCTGAGTTTAAGCCCAATACCTAAATCAGAAGCGTTGCCAGGAGGTTTGAATGAATCCCACAAACCACCGAACTTACGTGCATATTAATAGCAAAACTGATATCATTTCCACAACTATATTTTTCGTTGTACAAAACTTGAAGATAGCTTTAATATACGAAACATCTGTTAGCTGAGTTACTGCATAGATATCAAAGCTATCCACAACTATATTGTATATTCAAACGTTCCTCAGTAAACTGTGAATTGGCAAGTATCATACCGATCAGGAAAACACAATTCCGTAAAATTTAAAATTACATTCTGGCCAGGATACATCCTTCACATGTGTATTTACGCTGTAGAAACGAAGTAAGCTAGAGAGGGCTATGGCAGTTTGTTCACACCATCACGTATAAATACTCCTAATAAGTTCTATGTATTTCTAACTTCTATTACATAGTAAGATGCAAAGTGGTTATTAAAACGGGGATTTACTTACATGTAACTGTGAAGTACACGTACACTTTAATTAAGTAACGAGTAGACAGTATTCAGTTTAGTCTTCAAACTTGCGTCAATATTTATTTCTACTAACTCGTTCGTCGTGGAGTTCTCGTCACAACACGCGCAGTCTTACGTGTATATATATCTTAAAGGAGTTATTGACACTCCTCGAACATTTAATGTGGTCTATTTAGCATGTTCTGCAAGGGAACTTGGTGAGTATAAACACCGAGAAACGCACTAGGTATGTAGATTAGTGGTTACGAAGTGTAGGAAACATATCTATATGTGAATATAGTCACTGGCGAAAGATTTAAGATGTTGAAACTGTGGTAAAATGAAGTGATCGTAATGCTCTGTAAATATACCGAAAACTTGATAGTGAAGAAATATGCAGTTGAACTGAGGGGGAGGGAGCACGTAACGTTCACTTGCTAAAACTGAATTCACTTTAGTGTTCTGTGTGGTTTTCGCAACGTGATATTTGTTAATGTAGGTACTTTTGAAAATTTGGTTAAATAAACTGTAAATCAACCCAAGTTGGATTACTTGGGGAAAATCCGTCAGGAATGTCGACGACTGGTGGTGAGTCTTGTGAGTCTAAAGGTAGAAAAAGAGAGTTACAGTTTGGCCATGATTGGTTGTTCCAATTGTGAACGGTTATAGTGAATGTTTTATGGTTTAAATTTGACAATATTGGTTGTGTCACTGCAAAGTGCTCCCAGTGGCTCAGCGGTAAGTATACAGGCTTGCGACACAAAAAACCCGAGTTTCGATACCTGTGGTGAACAGAGCACACATAACCCATCGTGTAGCTTTGCGCTTAGCAACAGCCAAACAAACCAGAAACTACTGTGAAGTTGTA